TGTTTAAGTAGCTCTTCCCAAACTTTTCCTACATGAATTTGCATACCTCCCTCTTAAGCTCAATGTTGGTTTAGTATTCATAATACCGTTTTGTACCTGCACCCACAGACCACTAAAGCACACAACTACACTGAGGTTGTACAGGTGGGTTTTTTTTGCTTTTATATGGTGTGATTTAAAAACAAAAACCAAAACCACGCCCCCCCCCCCTCCCCCCAAAAAAAACAAAAACAAAAAACAAAAAACCCACAAACCACTACACACATTTCTGTGAGATAAAAACTGTAAAGTTTTACAGTTTTTTGAAAACACACAATGTACAGTGACCACACTTATGCTTTTCACTTTCTGGGAACAAAAGAAAAACCAACAAAAAAAACCCCAAACCCCAAAACCCCAAGCAACGTTACTAAAAACATATTCACACCTAACAATAAACACATTCCCTACAATAAACACAAAAAAGCAATTTCAATTGTATCATCTAAATGTAAACGTGTAACTAAATAGTTTTAAGAGCAATACCTGTAATACAAAAAAAGAGGTACAGGGCATTTAAGTTTGCCCAATACTACTCATTAGGGCTATAACCACTGCAGTGGTGGTATCAGAGGCATGATGAGTATGGACCAGGTGTGAAACACAAAGTGGGAAGCCTTAGAGGTATCCTTGATTTAGAGAGATGCTTCCTGAAAGGGAGCAGGGTGAAATTCTTAAAATTTACACACCAACTCCCCTGTACACTTGTCATCAGTGGACAAAGCATGTAACATGTATATGCCTTTAAACACAGCACTGGCAAGTACCTGCCAGGGTTATCTTTGCTTGGTTCCTCTGACACACTGACTGAGTCTATTAGCTTTTATCTGCTAGTTTTACAAGACTGATGAGCTCCACTTGCTTTTAATTACCTACATGACCATAACAGCACTTTTTCCTTCAAGTTCCAACGTTACAGGAGATCTACAAGTACAACCCACTTTGAGAGATACGAAACTGGAAGCATTCATGGGCTCCTAAGGGTTCCAAAAATCAAATTACTTTAAATAGACGAAGTAAATATTCAGATCTGTATATTCCCTATTTCATTTTGCTCCTCACCTCAAGCAGTTCTGGCCCTTAGGTAAGAATGCACTGAGGAATTCAGGATGTCTTAATCCATGCACTTCCCGTGACTGAACTTCCCACTCTCCTTTGCCATCAATTCAATGCTTCCTCACCTGTCTCTGCAATTACAAAGGACACCTTTGCTACAAAACCATGCCTGCTCCCTTCCCTCTCTTGCAGAGGAATGTTCAGTTACTTCAGATGGCAACGGAGAGGCTTCACCTTTCAGGACACCGGTCAACTTGACAGGTGACTCTCCAGTCAGACTCAACATATGGTTATCCCATGACCCATTGCCCAGTTACATGTCCTAGTACCAACGTGCTCCGTCTGAATAGACGCGAAACTTCATTCCTGTGCTGTGATAAATGCAGTGATTTCTCCTGCAGTTTTTAACTAGTTCCAGAAGCAAAACTGAGAGAAAAAAGACAAATGACTACACTTTCAAAACAAAACAAAAAACACCCAAACAAAAACAAAAGGCAAAAAAAATATTTACAGAATTCTATTTGATAGTAGGAATGATACACCTGTGCATGCTTCCAAGTATCATCACAACTTTAGGTCTGATTTTACAAGACTCCCAAACTGTCCTGCAACTCTGTCTAATCTCACAAGCAGAGAGGAGGAACAGAGAGAAATCAGGCTGCTCATCAACTGTGACTGGCACACAGCTCCTGTCACTGGGAAAGATACACAGGAAGAACAATACCTAGAGAAGAGCATCTCTCATTAGACTGATGGAATATGCATCTGTCTTAAAAACACCATTTTTGAGTCAGTATCACTGATGAGACACAATTTAATTTCTATCCAAAGATGATCTGAAACCACACAGTCTATAGAAATATGTTTACAAATATGCCCTGAGAGAGCAGGAAATTTCTTGAGATCCAAGCACGACTGAATTATTTTCTTCGAACATCACAGACTATTTCAAACTTCACCAGAAAATGTGCTACTGTATCTGTACGGCTGTCCCTCATTTAAAAACTCGAGATCTCAAAATACCACGTTCCTTAGAAGCTAATGAAAAAATATTTTTATATATAAACCTATACATATATAAATTATATGCATACGTTCATATACATACACAAATATATACAAAACCATAGAACTATACTGGCGCCCCCCCAATTTGGAAAAAGACTGAAGCGTGCCTACTGTTAACTATCAGGAGAACTCTTGCAAAAAGAGGCTACAAATAACACAAAAACAGGGAATTTCCAGTTTATACCTTACTAGACCCCAAGGAATCTGACCAGGAGAGAGGAATTAATTGGAAAACTGGCTTTATCTGCTCCATCATCCACGGAACAACTTGTCTGTATTATGGAGAAATTCTTAAGAGACACAATCCTTTATTAATAATGTTGTGGACTGTTTTCCCACTGGAGCTGTGCTACTCACATTCTTTCTCATTTGAAGCGTTTGTATATTTTAAACTGTTTACTGCAGTAGCTGAACAGAAGAGGAAGAAGCAGCAAATGTAATGAACAAGCCATCCACAGACTGTAGCTTCAGGGAATTACTAGGAACATATCTATCTTTGATGTAAACACATAGACCAGTCACTTCTAAAAAAAATTAAACATTAATATAAAATTACAAGGAAAAAAAAAAAAGAAGGCGAATGAACTGAACAATATCCACTTCAGATTCTCATTAAATAATCCCCTGTTTCTTCCATCTCATCCATTGTTTTATGCCTCGCGGTTTGGACTCCTGGGGGCAGCTTGTATGAAGTGGTGTCTCAGACATTCCTCAGCACCATGTTCTAAGAAGTCATTCTTGCCCAAGTGCGCTCTCTTCTCCACATTTCTAGCACTATTCAGGAAGCATTAAAGAACATGCCCTGCCTTGTTTTTCAAAGCAAGCTACTGAACATAACACGCTCCGCACTACCCCCAGCACCTTTTACAGCTGCCACGAAGGCCTCAGAAGACAACTTCTGTTTGTAAAAGAGCCCTCCCTTAAGATCTCGAACAGGGAGGCACTGCTCAGTTTTCCTTGCTACTACTACTCCACCCAGTCCATTTTCTCCACAAAATGCTTTCATTCTACTTTTATCTGTTTTGCTCAAACTGATCTAAAGCTAGGGAGGAAGAGTAAACAAACGTAAAGGAAGCTAGTTTTCTGAGTTTCAGATTCTCTGAGATACTCTCCTTAGTCCTCCACACCTCCGCATGTTTATCAGCCAAACAAACACCACACTCACATAGCAATGGTTTCTAGCTCCTTTATGGCTTTGCACATACAAAAATCCAGACTTCCAGTTTTGCAGTAGGATGTAGATGTTCTCAATGTCACAGCTCACATAAAACATAGAATAAATTGAAGTGGCCACCCAGCCTCCTTTGTAAGGCACTACTGTACTTTCTTGTTTCCCTCTTTGTGAAAAGACCTTAAGGGAGAGACAGGTTAACAGCTCAGGTGCGTGCACTTTCAGAACTCAGGCACTGATAGAGTCAGATGCTGGAGTTGTAGAGCGATCTTGTGCAGAAACAGAAAAGCAGCAGCTAAAGCCTAGATAGCTTCAACAGGCATTAAAGGAATTCGTCAGAGTATGTGAACTACAGAAGTAATGAACTCCACCTATCAGTCGTGGCAGGTGAAAATGATCCTGCACAGAATAATGAACATAAAGCCTATGCATCATAAAACTCTTACTCCATACTAGCTGATGGAAACCAACAATAAAATAAAAGAAAATGTTGATGAGGTTTCAGAGGAATCTCCAGATTTGAAATTGCAGACATTAATAGGATGCACAATTTTCAAATTTAGATACTAAAAGCTTCCCTGCATGGAGAAAAAGAACACACATGCAATGCTAGTCAATGCAAATTCTACAACCATTTCTGCAAGACAAGTTTTTTTGATTGTCTAGGGGTCTAGAGGAGGAAAGAACAGTAAAACCAATTTAATTCATTTATTTGGAGCGTGGAATTCAAAGCATGTAAGTATGCTCAAGGAAATGCTCTCATTTAAGGCTTCAACCAAAGCCCACTGAATTCAGTCAATGGAAGTTTTTCCTTCTACTTCTAATAAACTCTAGATTCTGCTTTTTGACAGCAAGAGCCACAAGCTACCAAGAAGCAAGGGCAAAACACTGGCTGGGAATAACTGAATTATTCTCATACTCACTATGTGCCATAGATTAGGCAGTTTGAAAAAAAGAGAGACACGGAGAAGAGGAAATTTATTGAGAAGTGAACCTGACTTTTAATAAACACGCTTCTATTTCTTCAGGAATGGAGGAAGGTCCAATCCCTTTCTCTTTCATGGTAAGCTTATGCATTCTCTTTTCTTCTATTTCTGCTCTTCACAGTCTACTCTGCAGGCCACAGTTCCCTGTTTTCACCTTTTAGAGAGAAATTTCAACCATTCAAGAACCAATATGAAAGACCACTCAAGAATATAGGAGAGTTCTATCATTTTCCTTAGCCACTTAATTCAAGTCCTTATTACTACGCAAGTAAAGCTGCAGCAAACTAAGAAGTGATTTAAAATCTCGACTCATATTATTCTTCACTCAGTACTGATATTCATAAACCCCAACTTTCATAAACCCCAATACTCATATACAAAATCTGACATTTTCCTCAAGAAAATGCCATATATTCCCTTAAGAATAATTCTAATTATATCATGTTCAAAACAGACTTTTACAGGGCTTTTAAAAATAAAGACCAAAATGAAAGATACACATAGGAAAAAAAACCCTGTATGTCTTCCAAATACATAATATAGAGAAAAATAAACGCAGAAAGTGAATGCATTAAGTTTTGTGAAGAGATCCATCTCCCCAAAAATGCTTTCTTAAGTTTTTCTATATGGAATCAGAAGATAACAACTGTATTTTAAACAAAAATAAAGCAGTAACATACTTTTCAAATAAATGTCTTCCAACTTCAGCATCTACTGCACTCAGTGGATCATCCAAAAGATAGATGTCTGCATCTTGATACACAGCTCTAAAAGGTTTAAAGAAAAGTCAGTATGACAAGGTCTCACATTTGTTTACTTTAGTCACTGAAGTCTGACAATTTGTAAATTTTAGAAACAGAAAAAAAACCACTAGCCTGGCCAGATTTACACGGGCCTTCTGTCCCCCACTCAGCGTAGCTCCACGATCTCCTATTACTGTTAGGTCACCATCTGCTAATAATTCCAAGTCCTATGAATGTGAAAGAACATATAGCAAGATTTTCTTATTTTTTAAATCATTTTGACTTCAAACACTGACAAAGCTGCTTCAACATAATATTTTCTTATTTGAGAAGTATTAATTTATCATCTCATATTAAAATACAAGGATTCAAACTTTATGACTTTGTACCTTCAGCAAAAGATAATTAAGAAATCAGGAAAAAATAGGTGAGATCTTAAAGCTCACTTTTTCTACAGCTTTGTCAGAGGTAAGTGCACTACTGTTCCTACTGTTACAAGCAATACTTGCTGGTGATTCAGAAAAATCAAACTAAAAATTACGAAGTATAATAGTAAATTAATTTTTTTACCAGAACAAATGAGCTGTCATAATAAATAAAACTGAACGAGTTATTATCAGTAAATTATCTTCCATTTGCCAATGTCCCTAAGAAGTGTATTACTTTTATTGTTACGCCAATGGATCCAAGAGAAATAATCACAACTTTCATCACACATATTTGGTTAATTTATGGGGTTTGGGACAACAAGTAAGAGAACAAAATTATATAGTGTTCCATGTCATATGATTTTATTTCCTATTCAGAAAATACAGAAGTTTTACATTAAGCTATAAAACATATTCTGAAAGTTTATTCACAGCTTTTATAAGATACATAAATTTGAAAGAAAACTATGAAAGCAAATCTACCATCAAATACGAAGTGTGTGGGTTTTTTTCAATGCAGTTTGCTGTCTTTTAAAGTCACTAAACCCTTACATTTAGACAACAGCATATGACTAAATATCAGGAGATATTAAAACTCTATCTACCATGTGTGAAAACCTCGCAAAAAAAATTTCATCACAGTAACCCATCTGCTTTTCACCTGTGTCACTGCTGACACAAATATCATAACATGCTGCATAAAACCTTTTTAGCTGCCAAGCAAAATGTCTGTTTCTTGACAAATCTGGCTTAATCCTCTTCTATATCTCATGTCACAAACTCCTTTGCGCACAGACCTTTCAAAAATATTTTTCCATAAAGCTACTTGGGCCCAGCAAGTTCTCCAATATATAGCACTAAGCCATTAGCAATGCATAATCCATGATATAAACATTTATTTTAAAAAAAACATACAGGATATTTACAAAATGGAAGTCACAAATAGTGCTAGCTTGATCATTTGTTTTCCACCTTTTATTGCATTTACACATACACTTACCGTAATACCAGTGAAAAGGGCTAAACATTATTATGAAATTAAATAATTGGGAACAGCTTTTTCCAAATTTGTCTGTGCTTCACTCAAGCTACATCTCCCTCTAGTGAACGTTTTAGGAATTACAAGAACGTGCTTGAACACGGATGTCCAAAATTTATTTCTGTTAAGCAATAGCTTTCATTTCAGATGCTACTAATGATCAACTCTATATATTATTGGTTGCAGCACACACCTCAAGTCTGAAAGAACACTAAGGTAAAAGTAAGGATTGTGAAAATATAACACACAAAGAGAAAACCATACCTTTTTAAGAGCACAGACTTTTAAAACATTTTCATATTTTTCTTTCTCGTATTCCTTGTCAAACAGTATATTACTTCTTACTGTACCAGAAAACACCCAAGGCTGCTGAGAAACATAGGCAATTCTTCCAGTAACATTTATCAAACCTTTGTCTTTAGGCAGCTCACCAAGAACAGCACTTAAGAGCGAAGACTGGAAAAGATTAAAAAGATAAAATAAAAATTGAAAATTTTGATTGCATTAAAGACATCACAGAGATTGAGCAGTGTTTACTGGTACAATGGCCTATTTCACCCCATCACTCAAACCACTGCTAGCAGTGGAAGAGCACTAGTACCCTTTACATGCAGTCCAGAAGCAATGTACAGAGCAGTGTTTTACTCTGAACCATTTCCTTCCCACCCCCAGGAGAACACCTGCCTTTCTTGAATACCAGTATCTGGATGTGAAGTATGTTATTATACACAGAAAGGAACTATACATTTTCAAGTTTCTAGTCATGTTTAACAGACTCATAAAATACCCATAGAACGGAGTAAACATAAAGACTTACTTTTCCAGCCCCTACAGGACCAATCACAGCCAGTAATTCCCCTCGTCTGACAGTAAATGAAAGTTGTTGAAGTGCTGGGCTTTCTGAACTCTATGGATTTGAGAAAAAGTTAGGCTTCCTCAGTAACGAAATACACACCATCTAAACAACTCTTCAGAAACAGAAAGCAATACACATAAATCACTATAAAGTAGCAACCCATATACCCACCAGATTTTCAGGCATAGTTTGCCTCTTCGGTAATTCACAAACATTTTTGAAAGACCCAGATTCTTCAGCACAAACAAGTAACATAGATAAAACAGTGTCCAAGGAATAAGGAACCCAAAAGCCAGCAGAAGCAGCACTTCCTCAAAGCCCATGCATCCTCGCTGCAGCTCAGCACAAGACTGGGGTGGCAGGCTCAGAAACAGGAGCTCTCTGCTGGCCATCACATCAGCATTCACAGCCCCAGCACAGCACGCCTGGCGACTCCAAGTAGCTGGACAAATACTGGAAAAAGGGAGGTCTGAAGCACTCTCGGAGCTCCAGGAAAGCCAGGTCTGTGTTTGCTCTAATCCAGGCTCTATCCAAAGTGAAAATAGAAAAACGCTGTTTGATTTTACACAGCTTCATCTTGTATATCGTGGATTCTCAGAGGCTTTTCACAGACAACCTCGTGGGCTATTTGTGTGAAAAAAAAACTACCCTAGGATTGTTTGTTTAATATTCCTCTTTAGGATGCCTATTCTTTATGTTACACTACTGATAAAAGCTTATTTCCCAATATATTTTGCACATCTCCTATCAAGGTTGTAAAAATGTCTATTTCTTGTGAAAAGAAAGGATGCTCGTGCCTTTAACAGCTACGTTAAACTGCAATTCCTAAGGGCCTGGTGCAGCTCACTCTCATTAAAGCAAAACACCCTTGTAATAGGATCTGCCTTTACATGCATCTTAGACCGCACTAAGCATGACTGACACTAAAATGCAAACAGGAAAATACACGCATTTAAAAAGAAAAAGTATTCCTATTAAAGGACCAATCGAAAACCCGGCCTTAAGCTTCAAGAAGAGCAAAGTGAAGAATATCTAGCGTACCTTTTAACAGCTTGTGGACTGCTTAAAATCTCCAGCCACCCTTTGAAGCCCAAGAGGCTAAAGAGGCCACCACCTAACCCTTCACGAAAGATTCTGCGTGACCAAGTTCTGGGGCTGCAAAGATGGGAAGCTTGCAACTTGTTTCAAATTACTTGGGAGAGATACAGGTACAGTATCAATCCACACCTATGACGACTGGGAGAGCTGGGCTAGCACGCGCATGTCCACTCATGCCAGGAGGAATACTCAGTTAGGCAGGACCATATCCAGAGCTCAAAGGGGCACATCCCCCATCACAGCTCCCACCTCCCCAACTGAAAGGATCCTTTAAGGTTCAGTGAGATGCATCATAGAAGTTCCTCAGTTCAGATATTTACTTCCCAGGGTTATGCAATTAAACAGCAAGGGCCCAAGCTCTCTGTAGGTATGTTTTCATAGTTTTCACTGACTTCACAGGGGTTTGTTTGCAAGTATCTGAAAGCACAGTTTGTGGCTTCCCTTTTTTTTTTTTTTCCTGTAAGAACTGAGGACATTGAATCTACAGCTACTCCCCTAGCCTAGTCATTTTTTAAGAGGGAAAGCTTTATTCCTCTTCCCTGCTGGATGCGTCTCCCTTCTGCTGCTAAAATCGTCTGGGTTTTTATTGTAGACATAGAAATCTATATAAAAGAAAGCCTAGCACTGCCAGCAAGTTTTCATGAAGTCTGCATATCTGCAATTATCATCCAGCCACTTTGCAGTGTTACACATGCAGGGATCTGAGTCGCAGCTGACCCGTCGTCCCTGCCAGCAGGACCGGGGTGCCCGCGGTGAGTGTGGGCCCCTCAGCCTGCACATCCCCCATCACAGCTCCCACCTCACAGAAGCACCGAAGGGTTCACACAAAATCTGAGTCACACTGTGAGAACCCAAACGTGTGGGTTGTGCGACTCTGCAAAACAACTTTTGTTGCTATTATTAATTTCCACAAGGTGGCATCAACGGGGCTTTTTTACTTCTCTCTACACCCCCCCC